GAAGGTCGCTTGCGCGGCAATTTGTACCCCTGCCGATGAGTTCGACGCGAAGTTGGCGAGTGTCGGGGAGACTTCGCTTCGCCTCAAGGTGTTGTGCTTGCGGACGCTGGCCTCCGTGGCGCCCCAGTGCACGGTGGTCCGCGCTGCGCATGCCGCCGCCGCGGGCCAGGAGGATCTAGGCCTCCTAGATGGGGCCCGAGCAGGTGAGGCGGGGTCGGAGGATCGCGGCGCATCGCCGATGCATCGGCGATGCAGGTCGATGAGGAGCGCGGCTATCTCCACGCCGATGGCCCATGCGTCGCCGACGTCGCCGACGCATCGCCGATGCATGGGTGATGCGTCCTCGATGCATTGGCGACGCGGCGCGATCCTCCGACCCATCGCCCCAGACCCCATCTGGGAGGTCTCTAGAGGACAAGGGCGTGGTCGTGCAGCTGACGAAGGACGCGTCGGAGCTTTTCGCACGGGTCGAGCTTTTGAGGAAGCAGCTGCAGGTGGCCCCGGCGTCCCTCGCCTCCGCGATGCCATCGCACGAGCTCTGCCCCGTGGCGATCGACGCGAAGCTCTTCGAACTCTCGGCGGAGTACGGCCTCGAGTTGTTCAAGAAGGCATGCGACGCCGTCGAGAAGTGGGTCGTCGATCGCCTCGACGAGCTGAGGGCCATGCACGTCGACAAGGATATCCTGCTGGCCCCCGCTTGCATCAGGTCGCCGGAGATGCGCGCGGCCATCCTGGGCATGCCGCGCGTCAAGGAGATCCCGGCCGCCGTGCTCGCCATCGTCGGCGTCAAGGAGGCCATCGACGGGGCCAGGGTCAAGATGCTCACCGCAGAGACGTCCAAGCGCCTGCCAGTGGACGTGAACATGGGGAAGGTTGCGATCGGCATGGAGTACGCCCTTCGCATGAGTGGCGAGATCGAGAAGCTCGACACGAAGGCTCAACCATGGAGGAGGAGGAGGAGGAGGAGGAGGAGGAGGAGGAGGAGGAGTTAGTGAGGATTGTGGAGGGCGATAAAGCAGATGGGGAGGATGAGGATGATGGATGATAACGAGGGCGAGGATGGTGAAGGATGATGGGGCACGAGGGCTAGTACGAGGATGAGGGCGGTGATAATGAATATGATGAAGATGGAGAGGTGGGAGTGATGAGGATGGGGGGGTGGGAGGGTGATGCAGATAAGGGCGATCCCCATAAGGACGCGGAGGGGCGAGGGGCAAGTTGGGCGAAGCAGGGGGGAGCGAAGGGGGGGGGCCAGGATGAGAGAGGGGCGGGAGAGGGAGGTGAAGGGGTGGGCGAGGATGAGAGGAGTTGGGGGAGTAGAAGGACGAGGAGGAGGAGGAGGAGGCGGGGGAGGAGGGAGGGGGAGGAGGAGGAGGAGGAGGGGGGGGAACGGCGCCGGACTCCGCGGGGGAACGGTGCCGAAATCCGCCTTTCCGTCGAAACGTCGTTTTGCTCCCGTCGCCCAGCCGGGGGCCCTTCCGGAGGGCTTCGGCGCAGTCGGGGGGCGGGCCCTGGCGGGCGCGTTCAGGGCCGCCCCGGGGAGGAGGAGGAGGAGGAGGAGGAGGAGGAGGAGGAGGAGGAGGAGGAGGAGGCAGAGGAGGAGGAGGAGGAGGAGGAGGAGGAGGAGCGGAGAGGAGGAGGAGGAGGAGGAGGAGGAGGAGGGAGAGAGGAGGAGGAGGAGGGGGGGGGGGAGGAGGAGGAGGAGGAGGAGGAGGAGGAGGAGGAGGAGGAGGAGGAGAGGAGAGGGAGGAGGAGGAGGAGGAGGAGGAGGTGGAGGCGGGGACGAGGAGGAGGAGGGGGAGGGGGGGGAGCGGAGGAGGAGGAGGAGGAGGAGGAGGAGGGGAAGGATGAGGATGCGGAGGAGGAGGAGGAGGAGGAGGAGGAGGAGGAGGGGGGGGTGTGCGACGCAGAGAACGCCCTCCCTTCGCCAGGCGGCGAAGGTGGTCAAGGTGAAGAGCGTGCTCGACAGGATGGCCGCCAAGAAGGTCAAGGTGCCGCCCTTTTTGAAGGCGCACCTGGACAGCCTCGCCCGTTGAGGGCGCCCGGCGGCCGCGGGGCAGCCAGGGCGATGACGGCCGTCCCCGCCCGCCCCGGCCATCGCCGATGAGCAAGCGGGTGGGGGGGAGGAGTGGGGGGAGGAGGAGGAGGCGGCGCTCCTCCGAGCCCCCTCCCCCGCCCCCCCTTCCCCCCCCCCCCTTCCTCCTCGCGCCCTCCCTCGGGCGGGCGAGGGCGTCGGCGCGAGCGGCGCTCGACTCTGGGGGGCGCCCTGAGGATCGGCCGAGAGCGGCAGGCGGATGGGGCCGCCTGCTTTGTTCCGCAGGAAAGAGACCATCTCGGCCTCTCTTCCCGACCCCCCAACAGAGCCCTCTAGAGTTCCTCGGCGGCCGCCTAAAGGAACCTCGGGGATCTCCTCGGGGCACGCACACACATATAGTTAGATAGATAGATAGATAGATAGATAGATAGACATATATATATATATATATACACATATATAGACATACCTACATATATACAACAATATATACAGTGCCTGACTTATCGTTTGCTTGCCATTGTTTGCATGTGGTGATGCCTTCACGCGTTGCTTGTATTAGTTGGTTGCCATCCCTTGCATTAGTTGCTGCCTTCGGGGGTTGTTTGCATTCGTTGCTTCCCATTGTTTGCATTGTTTGCTGCTCTTGGGGGCCATTCTTTCCTCGCAACGGTTCATGAGAGGCTGCGGCCCATCAGGTTTTGGCCCGAGGTCGTTTTCACTAAACCACGCTTTGCCAAAGGGGGTCCTGTCCACCCCGGGGCAACCACCTGCCTCAAGCCAGAGGCAGCTTGGGAGCGTCTCGGGATCACCACGGCGGTGGTGGAGGTGGTTTCTGGCAGGTCGGCTTTGAGCTGTGCACGTGCTTCTGTGCGTTCTGCTCGGCTTGACCTCTTGCATCGCTGTATCGCCGTATCGGTGGTTTCTGGTGCGCCACCCCCGCCGGGGGAGGGGCAGGGAAGCGCGGAGGCGAGCTCGAGACGTCCTGGAGAGAGGGTCGGGGAGGCGTCGGGGCGCCCAGATCGGTTCGAGGCGTGCTCGAGGTGCTGTCGGGCCATCTGGGGTCCTCGCGGGGGTCACCTGTGGGCCTGTCCTTGAGCCGGGCACGTCCCTCCACAGGAGGGACATGCCAAAGCAGTCAACACCTAGTCTGGGGACGATGTTTCTTTGTTTGACAATTGTTGTTTATTTTTTGGGCTATGTCTGATTTGTCTCCCACAATCCGCCTGTAGAGGGACACGCCCGACCTAAGGCTATCTTGGGCAGCAAACGGGAGCTATCCAGCGGCGGGCCTTCTTGGGAACTGTCGGGGGCATCCGGGGACCGACTTGGGGCCTTCGCGGGCCTGGTTGGGGAGGATGGATGCTGGTGGTATCTTGGAGCCTCTGGAGGCCACCCTTTGGCCGTGCTCGGCGGTATTTGAACTATCTTTGGGCCTTTCTTTGGGGAGCGCCTGGAAGACAGCTTGGGATATTTCAAGAGGAGAGCAGGCCACTGAGAGAATGCATCGAACAGCATTCGTGCTTCCTGCGACGCATTTTCCAGCTCGGAGCCCTTTTGGTCCCTCTTGGTGGGTTGTTTGGCCTCTCTCGCACCGCGTTGGGGCGGTCTCGAAGCCATCTTGGGCTCTTTGGGTCTCGTCTCCCTCTTGGAGCGCTCCTGGAGGTCTCCTGGGCCCTCTCGGTCGTCCGGTGGCGCCCCCATGGGAACCGGGTACTGGCAAGAAAGGCCGACGCCCCCCTGTGGCTTCCCCCGCAGCGCCAGAGACCCTCCACAGCAGACAGCAGAAAAGGGAGCAGGGCTGGGAGTACAGGAGATCCGAGCCTCAACCAGGAAGCACTGAATAAGCGTTACCTCTTGAGGCTCTGCGCGGATTCCTTGGATCGGCGCTGCCCTCCCTGGCACCGATCCAAGAAATCCGCGCGGAGATCTAACGGTTTATGTTTCCCCACATCTTCAGTTGGCTTCTTGTTTTCCCTGTACGCGCACCTCACCCTCTCTCCTCTCTCGTCCTTCTGCACGCGTCCTGCTACATATCATCATCATCATCATCATCATCATCATCATCATCATCATCATTATCATCATCATCAGCATCATCATCACCATCATCACCATCATCATCAGCATCAGCATCAATATCATCATCATCATCATCATCAGCATCAGCATCAACAGCAGCAGCGTCATCATCAGCAGCAGCATCATCATCATACTAATCATAATCACCATTCGCATCATCATCATCACGATCATCATACTCACCAGCACCACCAGCATCAGCATCACCATCAGCAGCAGAATCTTCATTACCATCCTCGTCATCATCATAACTCATCATTATCATCAACCATCACCATCATCATCAGCATCATCATCGCCATCATCATTTGCAACACCATCCACATCATCACCATCATCACCATCGTCATACCACCATCATCACTATCATCATCATCATCATCGTCATCATCATCATCATCATCACCATCATCGCCATCATCATCACCACCATCATCATCACCACCATTACCATCACCATTATCATTATCATCAGCATCATCATCAGCAGCATCATCATCGTAATCGTCAGCGTCACCGGCGATGCAGGGTCCTGTGCGTCACCGATCCGTCGCCGACGCACCATCGAATCTGTTCGCCGATCTGTCCGTTTGGATTGGAAGTCCCGAAATGTTGCGGTGACCACACTGTCGCTTCGGGTTCGAGGTCCAATGTTGTCGGCCGTTTCTGTGGGCTCTCGGTGGTTTTCCGGTCTCGGGATGCCCTCTAGCGGCTGCGCCTCGCCGAGAGCGTTCAGGAGGTCTCCGAAGCTTCCCGAACGGCCGCCGGAGACTTGAGTTATTCCCAGGGTCCGGCGAAGGCCCCCTGAGACAGAACATGACAAATTTGCCCGCGTACTTTTTCACGACGCGAGGAGTCTGGGTTTTTCGACCCGCCATTGGAGGCCTGACGTCGAAAAACGTCACGATCGCCGAGCAGCCCATGCTCGAGCTGGACGGGTGGCTCACGCTGCGCAGCTCCGAGCCGGCGGAAATTCGCGTGATGCAGGCCGCATCATCGGGAAAAAATTCGACCGCAGCCTGGTTGGCCGGTCCTGGGAGAAACCCATACCTCCAACGTGTTGAAGAAAGCCAGACGAAGGTTTTCTCTGCGTTCGTCCTCTTGAGGCCCTCGCCTGGGCTCCAGGACCATCACAAACGGCTCAGGATGATCAGCCAGTGCCGGATAGGGGGCCGGGATTTCCGGGGGCCTTTTTATCAAGCAACAACAAGACATCGGCTCTCTAGGATTATGATGTTCCAACCTACTTTAGCCTTGATCGCCAGAAACAATTTCGAGCCCCCCGAAAGTACCGAACCTCGAGGGTTTTCACATGTCCGGCCCTGGGATACACTCGTCCGACACTGTTTCGACACTTTTTCGATACTCTTTCGACACATTCCGGGTGTTCGAAATTATTTCTGCGATGTTGTTTGTAAGTACGATGGGAGCAACATAACCCTAGGAACGGGTCCTGGATATCAGGGGGTTCTCCCCCACCCCCCCGGAAGACACCATTCGGGAGGGGAAACAACACACAGACACTATTGATCGTCGATTCCCAGGAAAATATGGGAAAATATGGGAAGTGGAGGGGAAGACAGAAACCCCAAACATATGCGAAACATATAGGGAATCTGGTTGTTTGTGTGTATTGATTTGTGTGTCCCAGGGCCCCTTCAACCATTTCCTCGTCCTGGGGCATCTTCCGATGGCCCTCGGGGGACCTGGGGAGGGGGCCCGAGGAGCCCGAGGGCAGCGGGCAGCTTCGGGGCCAACTGCAGTAAAGTCTGGCCTGACCCTCTACAGGGGGAATATTCAGAAATAGTCAAAAAGTAGTCTGGGGATTATTTTGTGACTATTTCTGTGTATCTTTTGAGTATGTTTTGAGTACTCTTTATTGTTCGTCCGAAATCCCCCTGTAGGGGGACAGGCCCGACCTAAAACTACAGTGGAGACCTGTGCCAAGAAACACCCTGCCCTGGGTTTCTTGGGTTTCGATGGCTTTGCCATGGGAAGCATGACGTTCCCACGCCCCAAATCCAAGGATGTCCTGGGGTCTCAGGGTTGGGCTTCTTGTGGAGGTTTCCTTGCGGACTGGCCCCCACTGTATCGACCTGCGCCCACGCCGATCCTGGCCGGGCCGATCCTGAGCCCAGGCATGGCTCGTTTCGATCCTTCCGATTCGATTTCGATTCGATTTCCTTGGCCGCCGGTTCCGATCCGATTCGATTCCGGGTTCCGATTTGGGCCCCGACTTCCTCATCGGAGGCCCATTCCCCTGCCGATCTCCTCCCGTTCGACGTTTCCCGACCCGGCCGCCGATGTCCGCCGCCCCGATTCCTCTCGACCGCCGCTCCGACTTGTCGATCAGATGCGGGGGCCGCCCGCCCAGGTTCGTTGCATGGCTTTCTTTTGCCGAGAGCCGTGATGGCGCACACGCCGATCGTGGGCCCAGCACGAGGCCGGCCAGGCTCGGCGTGGCGGGTTTCTCCGAAGGGCTTAGGCGACCCGAAGGGCTTAGGCGACCCGTCCCCCCTCCTCCTCCTCCTCCTCCTCCTCCTCCTCTCTTCCTCCTCCTCCTCCTCCATCTTCCTACAGCTCCTCCTCCTCCCTTCTCCTCCTCCTCCTCCTCCTCCTCCTCCTCCTCCCCTTCCTCCCCCTCCTCCTCCTCCTCCTCCCCTCCTCTTCCTCGGGTCGCCCACGGCCCCGGGGGAAGCCGTGCAGATCGGCGTGGGCGTCCACTCGGCCTCCTCCCGCCTTCCTCCATCGTGGTGGTGAGCTCTGGCGGGGGAGCGGGGCCGGGAGGCCCTCCCCTCGAGCAGTGGCGAGGCGTCTTGGCGCGCCTGCGTGGCCCACCAAAGAAGGCTTTCAGAATGAAGTTGGGCCTGTCCCTCTACGGAAGGAATGCTCAAAGCAAGTCCCCGCAAAATAGTCAGGGGACGATGCTTGACTATTTTTGATTCTTGTTTGAATATCATTTCAATCTTGTTTCTCTATCTGTTCGTCCAATATCTGCCTGTAGGGGGACATGCCCGACCTAATCTAAGAGCCTTTTGTGGTCTGCACGAGATGTTCTCGGTGCAGTTCTGGCTGAGACCGACTCGTTTTGACGGCTCGGGCTCATGCTTTGGGAACCTCGTTGCTGTGCTTAGAACACTCTTGGGTCCCGAGGACAGGTCGTGGTACAGTCAACCCGCGTAATAAGGATGGGCAGCCTTCCCAAGGGTGCCCTTGCATCCTTGCCCCGTCGGCCCATCCTTCGCCACGTTCGTTGGCGCGCCCCGCTCGAAGAGCTTCGGATTGGGCGTCCAAGGCCCTTGCATCCTCATCGCGCATCCTTACTACACGGGTTTACTGTACAGTGCCGTCTTTAAGACATGCTCCGCGTGCGGATCATTTCAAAACATCCTATGCATTAACAACTGCCCTGTAGGACCGCGGGAGTGCCGGGACGGTCGGCCCCTGCGCCATCCCCCCTCTTGAGCGGAGAGCGCGCCGAGTCCGAGGCACGGGCGCGCCACCCCGGGGCCTCGGTGGGGCCCGAGAGGTCCGGGCCGCCCGCGGGGACTCGGCATCGCTCGGACGCGTGCCTTTTTGTCTTCGGCGGGGACCATCGATCTGCACGAACGACATGGGTACGGAAAGAAGGGGTACGATGCCCAACGTTTGTTTCTCTTCCTTTCTCCCCCGGTCTGGATCAGGGGCCGTTGCCCGCAGGCCGTGGGGGTGTACAGCCTCAATTGTATCTTGTCTTGTATGCTTGTCCTGTTTCTCCCAAGGGCGTGTCCCTCCACACAGCAAGTGGTGATCCAGGGTCCCGTCAATGCGAGCGATGCTATCGATGCACAACAGCAGTTCCTGTTCATTTTGCACAGGACTCGCTGTCCGCGCCGCCGCGGCCTGTGTCCATTCGAGACAGAAGGCCGCGGTTTGGGACAACATTTGATGTTGGGCATTGTGCCCATTTTCTCCGTACCCGTTTCGGCGTCCAAAATCGAGGAGCATCCTTGATCATTTGGCGAAAAAGCCACGCACGAAACCGAACAAAAACACAGGGAATGGACGTCCGAGCGATGGCCAGGGGAGTCTTCTGGGGCGCGTTGCATCCGGGCAGCTCCAGGAGTCCCCAGGAGGGCTCTGCCTGCTGTCTGTTGGCAGGGATATCTGGGGCCCGCCTGCATTCGTGTGTTGTCCGTGTGTGGTATATGTTCGACTCTGTTTTGGCTCAGCGTCGACTCTAGCTCGGCTCGGGTTCGATTCGAGCTCGACTCGAGCTGGCGAATCTTCGACGCAGCATCGACGCAGGAGTGGGGCAACCGGCTCCAGGAAGAGCCCGGAGCGAGCACTTAGCAGGGAGGGAGGGCCCAGGGGATGGGGGCCTCTCGGGTCGGAGGGGCAGGGGGGGTCAGCAGGGCTCATTTCGATTCATCCCCCCCCCCTCCTCCTCCTCCTCCTCCTCCTCCTCCTCCTCCTCCTCCTCCTCCTCCTCCTCCTCCTCCTCCTCCTCCTCCTCCGGTCGTCGTTTTCGATTCGATTTGATTGCGACGGCTTCCGATTCCGCGTCGGTTCGACGTCGGACCTCGATTCGGGTTCCGACGTTTCCGCGGCGGCCCGCTGGCCTGCAGCGCCCCGCCCTGCGGCGCCCTCGCGGCGCTCCAGGCAGGCCGCAGCTCGCAGCTCGCAGCTCGAGCTCGCAGTGCGCAGGCCTGCCAGCGTGTGCCGATGTTCGCCGATTCGGCTTCTCACGACTCGGCTGCGGATTTCCGCGGACCTCGACTCGATTCTGGGCTTCCCTTGGGGGGGGGGGGGGGGGCGAAGCCTGGTGCATGAGCGCCTCCCGCGTGAGCTGCTTCGCTGGTCTCCGCCTGACTCCCCCCACTCTCGTCGTGCTTGGCTCCCGCGGTCCCGAAGGAGGGCGCCGGATGCCGACAGCGCAACGGAAGGACATGCGTCTAGTTGCCTGCGCGACGCCTGGAAGGTTCGGGGTTCAGCCCTGTCTCTGGGACCTGGGGGCAGAACACGCACCTCCCCCCCCCCTGGCCTCACTCCCCCCGCTGGGGCTTGGCAGAGCGTCGGTTTCCGATTGTGAAGACGTCTCGCAGTGGGGGCACGAGATGTATAGCACCCCTGCCCCCCCCCCCGCGCGCCCTCCTCTGTGCGTGATGGTGCCCTTCTGCTCCCCAATCTTGATGGGCCAATGGTTCCACCAACACTGCCATGGGTAGGAGGGGGGAAGAAAGGAGGCTTCTTCTTCTTCTTCTTCTTCATCCTCCTCCTCTTCCTCCTCCTCCTTAACCTCCTTCTCCTTTTGTAGCGTTGGCCATTGGGCCATACATACGCATCGAGGCTGCTGCGTTCTTCTCCTCCTCCTCGTTCTCGTCCTCCTCCTCCTCCCCCTCCCTCTCCTACCTGGGCTCATCAGATCTGGGCAGGAGCTGCGCAGGGAGCTGAACGAAGCGATCCAGTGGCTGGCCATTGCCGCCGTAGACGACGACAGTGCCGCCACCGCCAGGGTGGCCAGGGGGCGGACGGCGAAGCGGCGGATGAAGGACGAGAGGGAAGGGGGGAGGAGGGAGGAGGGGAATTGAGGAAGAGGGGGGAGGGAGAAAGGAGAAGAAGAGATGAGAAGAGGGACAAGGGAGGAGGGCCAGGGGAGTGGTCTTTCCGTCGTCGATTTGAACGTGTAGAGCTTTGTCTGGGCCCCCCCCCCACACGCTTCTGGGGACCTCCAGCAGGGTTCTCCTCTCCCTCCTCCCTCCCCCCAGGAGTTGCGACCCGCGCGCCGCGTGGGGACATCATCCTGCCCCCTTTTCGTCCCTTGCTCTTCACCGCCTGCCTCGTCTCTTCTTGGGGCAGTGCCCCCCCCACCCCCCAGGAGTGCGCCCAGTGGGCAGCAGGAGGAGGGCGGGAGCCCCGGGGGGACGAGGGACGGGGGGGAGGAGGGAAGGGGCGAGGGAGAGAGAGAGGAGCGGAGAGGGAGGAGCGGGTTTCTGGGGTCAACGACCTGGCCCTGCCACGAGATGAGCCCCTGCCGCTCGAGGGCTCCCTCGCATCCTGACGGCGGGAGCACGGTCGGAGGAGGGTGGTGCGTCGGCGGCGAGCGAGCGAGACGGGGGAAGCGAGAAGGAAAGGTCTTCGTCCGAAGGCGGCGTGACTGAGAGGTTTTCTGTGTCTTCGAGAAGAAGCCCTCAAGGCGAGGTGTTCCGAGGCGGTGTTCAAGAAGAAGCCTCTGTTGTCTGTGTCTTCGAGGTGTTCCGAAGGCGGCGTGACTGCTCAGAAGCCCTCGAACCTGCCGAGGGGTTTTCTGTGTCTTCGGCGAAGGCTCTGGAGACTTCTCAGAAGTCCGGGGAGCCTCCGGGCCTTCTGAGAAGTCGCCTGCTCCCGGGCTCGCCGCCGAGGGTGGGAAGAGGGGGGTGGGCAGGGAAGGACTTGCAGCAGCAGGGAGCGAAGGACGAGGAGAATGAACGAACAAATGACTTTGCAGACCCAGAGATCCAACGTATTGAACAAATCAAGACTGAGTTGTTTCGCAATTTTCGGCCTCTGGAGGCCTTCGCAGGGCCACGGGACCGTCGAAAAGCGGCTCAGGATGAAAAACCAGTCTTGGGAATGGGTCATGATTTCCGGGGGCCGCGCATCGAAAAGATCACGACAATGGATCTCTGGGGAGGCGTGTCAGCAGGCTCTGCCGATCCGCACTGGGCTCGAAAAAGCTGCAGCTCGCTTCGTAGCCAACTCGCTTCTGGAGGGCACGAGTACGAGATGATTCACGTCACGCGTGGCACCCAGTGCACTCTGGCCCCCAACCCACCCCCTAGTTACCAGGGCTGGACCTAAACGATGTTTTGACGACTTCGCGGGACGTTTTCGTTTCGACTTCGCTTTGGGGTAGAGGTGGATTGAAGACGAAACGAGAGAGAACGAAAACAGAACGAGAACGAACAACACCGTTCAGGTTCAGCCCTGCTATTCTCCTCGGCTGCAGGGCCCAGCGCTGGTAAGGCAGGGCACGGCCGCAGGGTCGAGCCGTCGAGGGGGGGAGGCCCCCGATGCCCTTCCCCGACGCGTGGCGCCGCTTCTCGGACCCACTCGTGATGGCACTGAGGCCTGGAAGCGGCCCTTGGAGGCCGAAGCTCAGGGCCAACGCCTGGATTAACCAATAAAGATAAACAATCCATTGTGGCCGCGCGCGGCGTCGGACGGAGCCGGTTCGGACCTCTCAGTTACACTCAGTTCCCCTCAGTTACACTCAGTTTCCCTCAGTTGCACTCAGTTTCCTTCAGTTACATTCAGTTTCCCTCAGTTACATTCAGTTTCCCTCAGTTGCACTCAGTTTCCCTCCGTTACATTCAGTTTCTTTCAGTTACATTCAGTTTCCCTCAGTTACACCCAGTTTCCTTCAGTTGCATTCATTTTCCTTCAGTTACACTCAGTTTCCCTCAGTTACATTCAGTTTCTTTCAGTTACACTAAGTTTCCTCTCGGTTGCATTTAGCTCTCCTGGCGCTGCGTTTGCGGCTTGGTATCCTACAACTGCAGCCTCTTTCGGACGCAAGGAACTGAGACGAAACTGAGGGGAAACTGAGGGGGACAGCGGCGCCCCTTTGTCAGCACCTCCCTTCGGCCCCTCCTTTCCCATCTTCTCCCGCCATCCTTCCTCGCTGCTCTGCTTCCCTCATGTTCTTTCCTCCCCCTCCCTTATCCTTGTCCTTTTCCTGCTGTTGTTGCTCCTCCTCCTCCCCTCGTGCTTCGGGGCGTCAGGCTTTCCGGGGTCGCGACCTCATCATGATGATGATGATGATGATGGTGATGGCGATAGTGATGATGATATTGATGACGATGCGTATGGCGATGAGGAGAGGAGGATGATTGTGACGGACGGCGGGGATGAACAACATGATGGGTTGAGAACAACGAGGAGGAGGAAGAGGAGGAGGAGGAGGAGGAGGAGGAGGAGGAGGAGGAGGAGGAGGAGGAGGAGGAGCATGGTGGTGGTGATGGTGAGGGGGATGAGGAGGAGGAGGAGGAGGAGGACGGGGAGGAAGAGGAGGAGGAGAGCCGTCACACGTGACACCTTTCGTCTTCACTTCTCGAGGAGCCCTCAAGGACCTCATTCGGGCCGTCTTGGGGTTGTCCTGGGCTTCTGTGGGGCAGTCTGGGGGGAACCTTGGGGCCCCCCTGTGCCGACTTGGGGCCTCTTGGGTCATCTTAGAGCTCCATCTGGGCAATCGTGGCCGTCTGGGGGATATCTTGCGGCCGTCGTGGGGCCGTCTTGGGCCGTCCGGGGGTCCTCTTAGGCCTTTTTGGGTCCCTCCGGAGGCCCTTTTGGTTCAGCTTGAAGCCATCCTGGATCCGTCCTGGTCTGTCCAGGGGCCCTCGTGGGCTGGTGGGTTGTCTTCAGG